CATTGTACATGCATTAAAGTAGATACAGAATTATATTTACGTACGATAATGATGTAAGGAAATTTAGAGCAAATCATTAGTCATAGTAAATTAAGTTTAACAAGAAATCCCACTTCCAACCACAAGATAGACGACGCAAAGCCTATTTTCCAAAATTCGTATGCAGCAAAGAACTAAGTAATTTTGTATGAGAACAAAATGTAACTGATCCCTTTATCCCTGATAAATATTTGGAGCACGTAGAATATAGTTTCCTATGTACTGAACCCGACGGTGACGCAAACAGCCTACACTGAGTATCAGTCAAACATGACTGACATTCGATCACCGATCGCTCAACGCGATAAAAGTAAAATAATCCCTTTGACGTAAAAAACAGGAGAGACTTTGATAAAAATAAGCAGTTTGTTGTGGTACATGATCCTTTTCAAATAGTAAGTGCTCCTGTTAAAGATACATACAACTACAAGCCCAGAAATGTATCTAGACATAAATAAATTCCAATGAATAACACCAAAACCCTTTATAGGGTTCTCTTTACGTACAATACTGACATTTAGACAAATCTGTATAAGGTACAGTGTCATTAAAAAACTAATTATAAAAGACCCGGAGACAAAAAGACTCCTTTGAAGAATAATCTATTGATAAAACATGGAACTTTCTAGAAGTTAAAGAAAAAGTAAAACTGAACCGAAGGACGTAGACGGCAAACAAAAACATTAGAGTCCTCTAAAGCGACGCATGTCCACTAGCAAAGTTTTTATCATTAGTTACAATATGTGACTTTTAAGAGGGTCAGCGAATGTAATTAATCAAACTATATTTCGAGTGGGACCCGACTCATGTTCTCCTGACAAGGTTATGCCTTAACTTCACTTGACGTTGCGGTGTATAGGGTTTTCGGGGTCAAAATTATGTTGTTTTTCTATTATAATCCGATGGGAAATGTCATATTTTCTCACTTTGCATGAACAGCAAAATATGTTGGAATAATGCAAAAGAAAATAATCATGTTTGGCTAAACAATTATACTGCTGTTACAAAATAGTGTTGGATTCTGATTCAATATGAACATTAGTCATAATCCCCTGAATATATTTATTCCATGATAGGTTGAGATAATTGCATGTAATATGAATTTATTAACCTGTAAATTAGCACTAAGTCACAACATATACATATACTATTATGAAATTATAACATAAATTACTAAATATTGAATTATGTCAAAAGTAATTTTAAAATATTCCTTCATTTAAAACAAAGCTGTTATGAACAACAAACAAAAGCTTTATTTTATTCCATCATCCGATGGGAAGAGGATCAAAACCCACGCAGCGGTGCGTGGTGCGGCTCTAGTGAATAAATTATAATGCATGAAACACCAAACAAGTGACGTCAGACCTATTATTGTAACAACTTTATGTCTGAATGCCTTGTTGGTGAATCCTATATATGTAAAGCATTTTCGGTTTTTAGTTGCAGCACCGAGTCTCGTTTGTAGGAATTAGCTCGACTCCTACTACAATGGAAGCAATAACTGGCGTGGACTTGATCCTACTTCCTACTAAAATTATAAATGCGAAAGTTTGTGAGGTTGTATGTGAGTGTGTGGGTGTTACTCTTTCACGTCGAAACGGCTGATGGAATCGAAGTGAAATTATGAACAGGGTTTTTTTTAAGGAGGGTAAATCATCGAATGATTGCTCCCACCTGGGTGAGCCGGGAGCCAGTGTTAGACTCTTACTGACTAAAACAACCCCGTTCCTTCTCCTGCACGTCGAGCCGGAGCCCCGGTAACCCGTTAGGTTCTTCGCGACGCCGAATCGATGAACACGGGAACGCGGGCGAAGACGCTGGCAGAAGCTAGAATTTTATAAGTCTGACATACCGAGAGACCTGTGTCTCTCTGTTCAGGGAGATAGACTTTGTACAACCAGTATTCGATTGTTTTTTTTGTGAAACTTTTGAAGTCTAATTATCACTTTAACATTTACCCTTGACACTATTCTCCATTTTAAGTATCAAAAGGCTTCTTGCGTCTTTTTCACATAAACATTCGAAAATTTAATTTCACGACACGTCCTTTAAAAGGTGATTTGTCACATTCCCAAAATACCTCCATAACGGCGACAGAAGCTTTTGTGTTATCGCATTAGGGCAGGGATGGGGAAGTGAATGCGATTCAGGTAAAGCTAAAACTGATCCCTTTTCTTGGTAAAAGAATTTCCATGTCTTATCGAGGAACCCCATAGCCTTATGATAAATCGCAGCCATTGAAAACATTGACGTTTTAAATCGTTGAAAATATATTACCTTTACATTGAAAATGGCGGAGGGACGATCAATTTTCGAAAGACAAATTGTAAATTGATTACACGTTTCAGCTGAAAATGAAATTATGGAATAAAATAAATAGAAGCTAATGAAGGGATTACGCAAGTTTTCGGTGGAAAGCGTAATAGCGTCGACAAACCTATTAATATTGATAAATGAGATTTGAAAGTAATAGAAACATTCGTTTATACAGATGAAAATAATCATTCATTTGAAGTAGAAGTAGATTTTAGGTATCGTTCATTAATGATTGATTTTAATCGGCAACAATACAAATTAAATTATAAACAAACTGTGATTTGTGTTACTTCTCCGTGGATCTAATACTTATAATGATTGAAAATTAAGTTTTCAATTCGATCCTCAAGTTTAAGTCATTAATAGTGGGTATTAATTTCAATGTTTGATAATTTTAGTGTTTAGTTTCAAATCGTATCTAATTTTGGCTAGTAGCGTTTAACTAGGAATGTAATATGTGAAAATCATATAGTTGGTATAAGACTGTAATAATAAATCTTTAATTAATATTAAACAAAACCAAGAACTGCGTCATTGTACGAGTGGTCGCAAGTGCGTACCTATGGGACTCATAACATAAGAAGTGAAAAGTGGGTGTGATATTAAGTACCGTAACCGTGATGTTATGTTATATAGTATGCAAAAATAAGAACCCAAATAAAGATTCAAAATTAAAGTACGCTCGGCTTTTGTTTTATTTTTAGCATCTCATTAAAACAAAACAAATTATATTTATACAAACAAAGTTCTATGACTTCAATATTCTCCAGAGAACACCCTATCATATTTTCATGACCACAAAGTTTGAATTCAAATAACATGAGAACATGTTCGTGTTAATAATATATGTCAGTTGTAAGTCAATCATGTTTATGAGGGAAATCTAATCTATCAAAATTTGACAGGGGTTGGCATGGGAGATGACATGGAAAGGCTTTCACTAGTGAGACTCGGTTTCGTCACGCTTGTTAAGTCTAACGGCCATGTTGAATTTATGATGACTAAACGGTCTGGCTGGGAAAATGTACCTAATTCACTTTTTAATATACTTAGATGATATTGTCTTAGTGGGTTCTCAGGGGCGTGAAATAAAGCTCGACACCCGAATGACTGTAAAGTGTATATATTGGCGTAAACTAAATATAAACAAAGTTGCACAAAAATACAATGGGGTAAAACTCAAATATTTCGCGGTACAAATACGAAGCGCGTGCGTCACGGCTTCGGCGCGGGACTCGATGTTCTTTTGCGTCCTCGCAAGCGTCAAGCGGTCAGTGGCGGGGGAAGCGGGGGAAGCGGGGGAAGAGGACTAGTGAGGTGGTGTGTTGCCACTAGAGTTGCGCGCGTGCGTCCGACACAAACCAAAATCGAATTACCGCGTTACATTTTTTAAATTATTAGTTTTTATTTACACAAAGTAATTATCTGTTTGTTTGAGAGAACATTGCATTTTACTGCACTGACTGTCATGGGTTAGAATCCCGCACGGAAGAACTCCATGGGTGATCTAAAAATTGTTGTTGCAGGTCTGAGTATCTTATGATGTGGACATTATGTGAACTTGTATGACACGACCCAGGAGAAAATCTTAAAATTGGAGGTACAGATTTTTTTTTTAATTTTCTCTGCAATAATCAGTCAATTACTTTAATTCGTCGAGTACCGGTTTTGTAGACACAATTATAGAACAATAGGTTGCGGTCACCGGTGACCGCTTGGTGTTTGACAGTTTAATGACATATTTTAAATTTGTGCAAGGTTATAAACAACAATTTAATAATAGGTGTAAAGCTTACAATGGAACTCTTGGAAAACAAAATATTTGGTTTCTTATAAATATTTCTATCCAAAGGTCTGGAACAAATCACCATTGTGTGATAAGACTGCCCATTGTACGCATATTTACTTGAATTGTTTGCTTTTAACTCGTCGAGTACCGGTTTTGTAGACACAATTATAGAACAATAGGTTGCGGTCACCGGTGACCGCTTGGTGTTTGACAGTTTAAGCTACTTAAATGTGTAAAATAAAGCATATATAAATAAATAAATAGTGCAAAAAGGGTATTCTAGTTTATGGCTCTGACTGCAAATACAAAACCGATGAAGATAAAAATCTTCCACTACCGTCAATCACCGATGATCCCCATGGCGTTTAACGTGTTAATAAGAAACAAACAAAATTTGTTTTTAGAACACTGAAAACAAAACAGACACCAAAGAACCGAGGACTGGTTGCCAGTCCGTTTCTCACAACTTCCAACCAGCCATAAAGCAGAAACAATAACAAAAGTTACGTCACAATTACAGCCGTATTGTTCTATGAAAACACCAGTAAATATTGGTCTGTGGACCTTGGCTTCAGTTTCATTATATAAAGACATAATTTGAAGTGTGGGAGAGCCATGCTTCGGCACGAATGGGCCGGCTCGACCGGAGTGATACCACAACCTCACAGAAAACCGACGTGAAGCAACGCTTGCGTTGTGTTTCGTCGTGTGAGTGAGGTTACCGGAGGCCCAATTGGCAATTACCCTCCCCTTCCACAACCTCCCCAATCCCTGAATCCCCAACGATCCTCAAACTCCTAATCCCCAAAAAGTCGGTTACGCACTTGTAACGCCTCTGGTGTTCCAGGTGTGCATGGGCGACGCCGATTGCTTACCATCAGGTGATCCGTCTGCTCGTTTACCGACTTATGCCATAAAAAAAGATAAAGACAAGAATAACGTTCATTTTAGAGTCCAACTTACACTGGTTCATAAAATTTTGTAATGCAATTCGCATGTGAAATTTTTTTTGATAGAGATGCAAATGACTGAGTAGAATTAATTCAGCTTTTTCGTTCTGGCCGTTGTTTATTTAGACGCTGTATTCGATTTTTGTTGTGTGTATTATTGTGCGAAGTTTTCATGCACGGACAATAATATAGAAGTTCGTGAATTGCGATGAAATTGAAAAAGCTTTTATGAAGTTTTGTGTAAATGTAATTGTGGATTAATACCGTGTTAACATGGCGTGTTTGTGAATGAATTGATTTTTATACAGATGCTTCGAATGTTGATTTGAATTTTTCTGTTGAAATTTCTATTAAATAATATAATTGTGGTACGATCTCTGATCCGTGTGCTAATTGTGGAGATTATAGCAAACCTCTGGGACTGGTTAGCTCCAGACTGTATTATTTTATTGTCCTATAGGTTATTTTCTTTTTCGATCTGTTTGTCTGGATTTTGGTGTTACATTGTTTTTACACAGTTGAACCAACAAAACTATGTAACTAGGGAATTGTACTATGAACCTGATTGAAAAAGAGTAACCTATGAAGCTTCACTTTTAAATTTTTTGCTAACGTTCAAAAATGAATAAAGAAATGTATATCCTAAAACACATAATCTACGCGGACAAAGTCAGAGGCAACATCTAGTATTTAGATAAATTAATTAAAGATTATTATTTATCTGATGCTAACAAAGTCGAAATTCAAATCTAATTTAACACAAATAATTAAATTATTTTCTCAATTTCATACACAAGGTAATTATTTTAATTATATAACGTTGGCGCTCAAACTATTTCACGTCAAATAATTACAATAACTTAGCTAGCTCATTTGCGGGTTCCGTAGCTAATGAACGGCTGACTTTAATTAAGTTTCACATTTTGATAAGAATACTTTGGAGTTTGCTGATCTCTACTGAAAATATTACTTGAACTGATTATAATTTGATGAACTTAAAGTGGGATAACTTAAGAGTAGATGATATC